CATTTTCCGTATGAACTAATAGTTTAGGTATGAAACTCATACTTTCAATATTTTAGGTATGAAACTCAAAAAAATGATAGTTTAGATGTGTTTTTGACACTTATCTCATTTTTCAGCTTGACCATCTTACAGTATTTACCCATGCTTAAAAGAGCCTCCAAATAATATTTAAAACATGGGAAAAGGGTCTAATACTCCCCTCAATTTTGCTATTTAAAGCTGATATATCATCGTTATAAAAGTGACACACATATATCCTACCGTTACAAAATTGGCTCACAACCCCTTACCATTACAAAAGAGACTCATATATACCCCTACCATTACAAAAAAGATAAAATTAATTTTTCATTTTTTAACAACCCACGTATTTAATCTTTTTTCACACTTAATTTTTTGTTGACATCTTTGATTATTATTATTATTTGAGTTTCAAATACACCTATAGTTACGAAAAATGATAAAGTTAATTTTAAATTAATTTTTAAAAAAAATCATTTTTTTAAAAAAAAACATGCATTTAATCTTTTTCAGACAAATTATTTTTTGACTTCTTTGATTATTATTATTATTTGAGTTTCTTATTCTTTTTTTTATTATTTTTTCTTTCATTCCTTAGTGTAAATATAAGAGAAATAAAAAGAAAGAAGTGTGAATGAAAAATTAAAAAATTAAAACTATTTTTTTGCGACTATATTATAATTTAGTTTTTGTATTTGTATAAAACATTTGGGGGCATCAATAATAAATTTTACAAGAAAATAAGTAAAAAAAATAAGTCTAGCCCTCAAAATAATAAATTAATATTAGCCGTTGAATGAAAAAGTAAAAAAATATGTGTGAGAAGAATCAAATATATCCCTACATGGATTATTCTTTTAATAAATATTAATTTTAAAATATATTTTTTTCACCTCCGTTAAAGGAAGAGTGTATGGTGTATATGGACCACTTTCATAACAAAGAATATATCGACTCTAAATGACAAAGTTGAGAGGCATGCCAAGCCCTTTCCCCTTAAAACAATGACAAAAATGTCAAAAAAAATAGGGAAAATGCATAAGTACCCCCCCAACCTATACCCGAAATCCCAGAGACACACCTAACCTTTATTAATGTCCTATTACCCCCCCGAACTTATTTTATATGTAATATTCTACCATTTTTTGGCCTACATGGCACTATCAGGTGGGCCCAGCGCATGTTGACATTTTTTTCAAGGATAGTGCCACGTAGGCCGAAAAGGGGTAGAATATTATAGATAAATTAAGTTCGAGGGGGTAATAGGACCTTAGTAAAGGTTAGGTGTGTCTCTGGGATTTCGGGCATAGGGTGAGGGGGTACTTATGCATTTTACCAAAAAAATAATTAATATTATTCACATCATGATATTTCTTTGCAATAGTGTTATAGAAGTCGATTGCAATTAACAAGCAATGTATACAATATGCCAGGATTATCTTTCAGAATCAAAAGTTTTAAGATTATTAATTTCTCTTTACATATTACTTGCTCCAATAATCTTATCCTTGTATTTGATCTACTCAATGAATGGTCTAAATATAAATAGTAGATCTCTTCATTTAATGACTTTGTAGATGTATTTTTAAGATGAATAAAACTAAAAAATCGCTTGTATAAATTATAAGAACCACATATTATAAGTACTAAATAACATCTTATCGCTTCTAGTTTTTTATTTACCAAAAATCCCTTAAAAATGATGTTTGCGGGATACATAGCATTGTGCACGGAATACATTAGGTTTGATACATTCCACATAGCGAGATACATAGCGTTGTGCACGGGATACATGCGGGATACATAGGTAAATAAGGGATTTTAATTTTTTTTGAAATAAGTAGGGATAAATGGATATTAAGGTAAGTAAAGGAGTGTAGTTAAAGTAATTTGTCCTTCTTTTAATTATTATAACTGTCGAATATTCAATGTCAAAACCTAAATTATTCAAAATCTATAAATTTCAAATAAACAAAGTGTTGAACATGCATCTACAAATTAATAATTAACAAAGCCACAAGTTAACAATGTCAAAAACCTAAAATTTACAGATACTAAATTAACTAACACATTCATATTGACAATAATCATAAAATATCATTATTTGAAAAAAAAAATTAAAAGTCAAAAGTTATCACTACACATTTTTTGGCAAACAAAATTTCTGATTTATCACTAATACAAGTTCATACGCATCAATAATGTGATAAAACACTAAATTAATGAATGTAAACTAGCCTAAATATAGTAACACATCAACATTGAACTCAAAATCTAAGGATACCAACAAAATTGCAAGAACTTAAAATCAAGCCCTAAATTAATGGAGAAAAAACTAATATCATTGTTATTTGTAGATGATATAGTACTGATTAATGAGACACACAGTGGAGTTAATGCTAGGCTGGAGCCTAGAAGTGAGGAGACAAACGCTGGAGTCTAAGGGATTCAGGTTGAGCAGAATCAAAACAGAGTGATCTTCCGAATCTAGAGTAATAAGATTTGCATACAATCTACCCTCTCCAGACCCAATTTGTGTCATTTCTATGGATCAAAATTCTTTAAAAGACTCAATCTAGTTGAGTTAGATGCTAATGAAATCCAACACGAAGATGAAATAGTGAAAAGGCTAATCGAGATTCTCAAAAATAAAATAAAATTGCCAACTATCTCAAGAGTAATGCATTGGCTTTATAAATGATTGAAAAATAATTATAAAAAATTAATCAATAATTTGTATCTAGAGAAGCTAAAAATAAATTTTAAATAAAATTATATATTATTTTAAAAAAATATATTGAAAACCTCTCATTAACATTTGATTTTAGGGCCATTAATTTGATTAAATTGCTCCGGTTTTATAGCTACAAACATGACAAGAAATAACATTTTAATATTATAATTTTAATATTAAAATGTACTTAAACTTCAACTAATAAAGTATTCCTCTTCTTTCAATGTTAGAAGTCTAGTATAAATTGTATAAAAGTTTTTTTTTTTTAAATCCTATTAAATGTCTAATATCGACATTGAAATTCAATTAAATTTTAATATATTTCAAAAAATATCACATTAGATGGAAAGCACACTTCCTAATTATAAATGTCTCCATATCCTCAAACTCAAAACTCTTAATTAATAATAAAAAAGTGTTTACTACTCCATAACAACTCTGATTGATGTATACAAGTTGTATATAGTAGAAAGATTAAAGTGAGATGTGAAGGAACTAAGAAAAGTTGAAGGGGACATGGAGAATATTGCAAGTACGAGGATTTTCTCCTTTCTCTTGTAGTAATTATTACTCTCTCTTTAATTACTTGTTCACTTTTGAATTGATATACTTATTAAGAAAATAATAATTGACATAGTGAGTTTATCATTTTACTCCTATTAATTATGAAATGGATGAATTTTAAGATTTTCAGGAAGTTTTACCTTTTTCAAAGTAATTAATTGAGGGTATAATAAATAGAAAAATTGTCTTTCTTTGATTTGTCAAAATGGACAAATAATTAGAGCAATTAAAAAAGGAAATGTGGACAAGTAATTAGGGACATATGGAGTATATTATATTATATTATATACTCCTTTTGTCCATTTTTTATTGTCATGTTATGCTTTTTGAAAGTCAATTCGACTAATTTTTAAAGTTAAATTAGATTACATTAATTTGATATTTTAAATAAAAAATTTAGATATTCAAAAACTATACGAAAAACGTTACAAATTCTAATTCTTTGCATATCAATATGATTAAAAAAATATCATAAAATATTAGTTAAATGTTGACTCTAAAAAATAAACTATAACACTAAAAAGTAGATGACGAGAGTAGCCAATGAAAAAGGGCACGTGGTGCTTTGTGTTGATACATAAGAAAGAAACAATGCCTTGTTTTGATGGGCAGAATATTGGATGGACTTTGGATCCCACTGAATCCTTATAATTAAATAAAATAATACTACCTAATTTACTTATGACCTATCTACCTTCTTCACAAAATATCTCTTCCCAACTATAAATTCCCCATCTATTATCTGCCCTTCACCAACTCAATAGCGACTTGATAGTCGGCCAGGAGGTAAATTTTATTATATTAAATTTTATATAAGTAATATTATGTTTTTATTTTACTCTGTATCAAAGTAATATTATTTCATTTTTTTAAATGATTTTCTGTTTTCTTTTTAACTTCATTTTTTTCTATATACCTAGAGTGTTTTTCTTTTTGAAAAAAAAATAAATACCCTTATGTAGAATTTCTATGCCTTTTTGCTTCACTAGTGATTCGTTTCATTCTGTTTGGATAGTTGTTACGTATTATTTCATAATATATTATATTATATTGTGTTATATTTATTTCATAATGTATTATATTATATCTTTATATTATTTTAATGAATATAATTATATAATGTCACACATTAATAATTTAAAAGATAAACTTGCAAAAGAAAAAAAGGGTACAAATAGAATTGCTATAAAAAGGTAGAAAACAAAATGAGAAAGAAAATATTAAAATAAGAAGACGTTCACATCAAGTTGGTTTTTATACTAAATGAAAATTTTATAATACTTAAAAAATAAGAATTTAAGTAACAATTAAAAAAATAATGTAAATAATAGCAGCATAGAAACAAGTAACAAACCATCCAAAGAAAGGTGAAAATTACAACCTATCATTTTTGCTTCGTTAGCGAATATCGAAATCACAATTTATTGGAAATACAAGTTATGTCTACCCTCAAATCGATTTTGTCCCCTATGCCTATTGAGAAAAACGAGTGATCATCTAAAGCGCTTTGGTAATTTGTAGATCATTCCAACTCTCGAGCAAACATCAAAACTCCATTTTTTTTCTTGAAAAATAAAGGCAGATTCATTCGATCAAGACTTTTTCTTTTCCTTGTTTTGGAAGAAATAGAACGAGCTTTTCTTTTGTATGATTCCTTATTTTCACCTGCATACACAAGCAGTTGATTCATGTAAATCAGAAAAGACCAAGTCTTTTGCTGTTGATCGTTCAAAAGAATCCATGGAAATGGAATTCTACTCATACCCATCTCGTGTTTTCCCTCTTTCCTCTTCTATTTGTTCGTTTTCTATAAGGGATTTGGTTGATAGGGCTAAAGATTTCTTTACCGTTGCGGTTTCTGCAATCATTGGCAGCGTCTTATCTGCAATCTTCACCTTCTTCTTTGCATTAGGTGAGTATTGGGTATAGGTTTCCCTTCTTCCAATTTGTTAAATTCTGTACTTTCCACCACAATTTGATTTAGCTTTTTAGCATGTGTATAATTCTTGATGTATGTATCTATGCTCTGTATTGGGGGTTTGCATATGTTTGATCGGGGGGGGGAGGTGGGGGGGGGGGGTGTTGCCTTGTTGAAACTAGGCTATGATAATTTAGGGTGCTTCTTCTTATGAGTAGCAGAAAAAACAATCTTTTTTGGCGTTTCTATGCATAGCGTGACGTGACAATTGTACCTTTTGATTTCCAAAATATGGAAAAGATATTAAGCTCTCTTTAATGAATTGGTTGAGATATACTCTCCTAGGCGTGCTACGTTCGCACCCTGGTTTAGAAGTAAATGAGCAAGGGGTTTGATACCGTTGTTAGACCAGAATGGTTATAGGCATTCATATAACCACCCCAACTCTGTTTAGGATTTAGGTGAATTGATTGATTGACTGATAGATATGTTATTGAGTTCCAAATGTTTAGTGGCTGGTTTAGATTAAAAAATATGGGTTTCTTATCTTTCTCTACTTATGGTAGCTGGAACAAATCTGAGATCGATTGGCTTCTTGCAGTGGGCACCTTATTAGGAGCATTGACTGGAGCTTTGATTGGCCAGGAGACGGAGAGTGGATTTGTTAGAGGTGCTGCAGTTGGTGCCATCTCTGGTGCTGTTTTCTCTCTTGAAGTCTTTGAGTCATCTCTGTTACTATGGCAGTCGGATGAATCTGGAATAACATGTCTTGTTTACTTGGTAAGCAATATAGATTCTTTCTCACTGATAATGCTGAGAATTGGTTCTCTAATATTATAACTTGAGTATATGGGATAATAATAGATGGGTAAATCATGTCCTGATCCAATATTGGCGTCAATCTACATCTGACTCTCGCAAACCTATGTTGCTCGGACTCTTCAAAAATGTTAGCGGGTGCGTATCGGATTCTCCAAAAGTATTGTATTTTTGGAGAATCCGACCCGGGTGCAGCATCGAAAGTGAAGAATCCGCACAACTTAGCTACAAACCAACAACTTACGACACCATAGTCCCAAATTAGATAAGGTCAACTATATGAATCATTTATATCCATTAAGCTTCAATTGGACCGCTTTCATTCCTATTTAATAATTTTATCTTATAAGAAAATTTAGGCATTTGCTGACACCAAAAATTCTCTATATCTCACATCTATCCATATACTGACATTCAAATCTCTAGATAATGTAGAGGACACTTCGCAAATATGGATCTAATGCAAGTGTACCAACCCGACTAAAACCTAAATCCCAACTAGTACTTTTTGCTTCCATTCTGTTATGTTCTTCCCTTAGTCTTTATGGATTCAGAGATTGTAGATCTCTAGAGACAGTTTTAGGTCCCAAAATATTTCAAATGACCTTTCTTCTACTCCTTTATGTGTGCTATTTTAACATCAACATTTATATGACACACTCGTCTTGTAGAAATCCTCTCCCCCCCCCCCCCCCATCAAATGAGGAAGCTAAGAGAGAGAGCATTATTACAATCTTAAGATCATTTTTGTGGCTCTAAGGTTTATCCTTGATTGATGAAACTTTTAAACTAAACAGATTGATGTACTCACAAGCCTGTTAAATGGTCGATTGGTTCGCGAGAGGATTGGCCCAGCAATGCTAAGTGCAGTCCAGAGTCAGGTATGTCATATATGCTACATGACTGTTGGCCATCTAAAATATTGCCAGCAACGTACTTTCCCTTCATTGTCTTGACTCTTTCTTGTTGATCAGATGGGAGCTGTTGAACTTGCATATGACGAGGTCCCTAACATTTTTGATACGGGTGCGGCTAAAGGCTTGCATGGAGATTCTGTTGAAAAGATCCCAAAAATTGTAATCACAAAAGGTAACAACTTGGATGATTCTGGAGAGAGAGTCTCTTGTTCCGTCTGCCTTCAGGTGAATTACATTAACAACTTTTGTTTGCTATTCGTCCGGATACTGCATTACTTGTTGATCCTGAATCCTTTTCGCTATTGTATGCATACAGGACTTTCAACTGGGAGAAACTGTTAGATGTTTGCCACAATGTCATCACATGTTTCACTTGCCATGCATCGACACATGGCTGTTGAGACATGGCTCTTGCCCAATGTGCAGAAGGGATCTGTAATTGCTCCATAAACTATACCAAGGTTATATAAGTTCTTCATACTTGCTTGTATGGTTTCCTTAGCTGTCTTTCTTCACTTGCTCCAATTTTCAAGGAAACCTGTGTATTTAGTGGCAAGTATGTGCTTTTTCGAGTTTGGTTGTTGTAGACTATTACTTACCTGTAAATTGAGCTATTGTAGTGTTCACTAGCTACTTCCACTTACTGGTATTCTCTGTCAATGTGTCTCATGTTTGCATGCATCGTGGGATTAGTATAACATCTTGCAATTCCAATCAACTGATTCACAGTGAGTATAAATAAGTTGCCCTTGTAAAAACAGAACAACAACATAAATCATTCTACAAAATTCCCTTTAGCCAAATCCATAGATAAATACAAGAAGGTTAGTTGATGCTATAGCTAGGCAGCAGAAATGAGTTCTCGATTAGATTATTTTTTTTCATTCAGAAGTTTGTCTTATACAAACATTTAAATACATATGTAAAAATCAAAAACCTTTATTTATAATATAATACCCCAGTCCCCAAACAATTACTACTGTTTCAATAAACTCAAGGATCATAACGAGTGGCAATCAAAACAAGATCATCCTTTCTTGTTGCAGAAATTCCAGGTGACTCTGTCAAGTCCAAATTTTCGTGACTTTGTCCGTTAGGGAGTTTCCAATCGAAGTGATAAAGCAATTGAGCTAAAGGTTGTCCAACATTGGCTAAACCAAATAGCATTCCTGGACAAATCCTTCTTCCTGCACCAAACGGAATAAATTGATGATGACTTCCAAGAAAGTCAACAGAACTATTTTCAAATCTCTCTGGTGAAAAGCTTCCAGGGTCATCCCAACTTTCAGGATCTCGTCCAATTGCCCATGCATTAACTATGACTCGAGTTTTGAAAGGTATATTGTACCCATCAATCTTTGTATCCTCCATACATTCTCTAGGGACTAACAAAGGAATTGGAGGGTGCATCCTTAAAGTTTCTTTGATTACTAACTTCAAGTACTTTAACTCATCAAGATCAATTTGTTGAATACCTTTCTCCTCCTTCAAGACTTGTCTCACTTCAGCTTGTGCCTTTGCTAAAACATTCGGTTTCTTCATCATTTCAGCTAATGCCCAAATTATAGTAGTCGATGATGTCTCAGATCCCGCGGAGAACATGTCCTACATGATGAAAAAAATTTGAATAAAACAACTATGATATCGTTCAGGTTACCATATCAAGCTTGATATAGAAAACTTACGACTAATATTGATTTAATATTATCATCCGTGATGGGAATTTGAACTTCTCCACTTTCTCTAACTCTTAACAAAACATCGATCAAATCTTCACCTCCAAATTCACCATTACCCTTTTTACCATCCGCTCGATTTTGTTTGTGCTCATTCACTACATTTTCCAAAATTTCATCGATTTTACGATGTGCCTTCACCAGTCTAGTTTTTGAACCACCAACGTCATGTAACATTTTCCATGTAGGGAAAAAATCAGCAACACTAAATCCACCTGCCAATGATATTATTTCCCTCATAAAAATTATCAATTTATCTTGGTCACAACATATTTTTCCTAAAGCTGATCTACAAGTTACCGAACTTGTAAACCAAAATATTTTATCTGTAAGGTTGACCGGAAGATTATTAGGCATCGTTCGTATAGACGAAACCATCTTCGATAGCTCGTCTTGACGAATCGAGCTAAAGAATTTGACCATCTTGGCACTAAGGAGTTCAAGTATGCAAATTTTACGAATTTGTCTCCAATATTCACCATAAGGAGAAAATGCTATATCCGTACTATCATAGTGGATGATGTCGGCCACTACAAGTTTCGGCCTCGTTGCAAAAATGAGGTCGTGAGTTTTTAGTACTTCCTTAGCCATACGTGGTGAAGAAATGATGACGGTAGGAATTTCTCCGAGTTGAGTTGTAAATGCATGAGCGCCCCATAGCGTTTTGCTAGATTTTTTAGACCATGATGAGGGAGTGGGCCTGCCACTGCCAAATGATGTAAGCTTCCAATAAAAGGTAATTTCCATGGACCAGGAGGCAAATTTAGCTTTTGAATTTTCCATTTTTTGAATAGAAGAAATATGGTTGAGAGAAATACCAAAAATGCAACTAAGTTAGTGAATTGAATCTCCATTATTTTTCAGTTGGAAGGAATTAATATTGATGGATATTGCATTATTAGTTGATCTAGTTATATGTAGTGTCTTTTGTGTCATTAAATTCAAAATTGTTGGGTTAGCTATTATATCATGTGGCTTGCTAGTTTAATTAAAGTCAAAATTGTTAATCTATTGAAGTTTCCAACTTTGAAATTTTCTGGAACTACAAAAAATATTATTCCCTCCGTTTACGTTTATTTGTCATGTTATGTTTTTCGAAAGTTAATTTGACTAACTTTTAAAGTTAAATTAGATTATATTAATTCGATATTTTAAACAAAAAAATTTAGATATTCAAAAACTATACGAAAAATACTATAATATCAATATGATGAAAAAATATATCGTAAAATATTAGTCAAAATTTTTAAAATTTTAACTTCAAAAAAGAAAACTATGACAATTAAAAATTGATAATATTAAAAGTAGACAAATATAGTACGAGTTAAAGGTGTATGTGTTAGTGTCGCCAAAACCGACGAACTTTAAATAGAATGATTGATGGCATACGTAGTTTCCTTAAAAAAAAACTGCTAGCTAGTCATGCATATAAGATATAACTTGGCTAAATATTACAGATTGGGGTGAAAAGCAAATTTTATTAACATTTTTTTTTAACTTCACGTGTATAAATTAAATAACAATAACAATAATAATATATTCAACCTAATGTTACAATTACGTATATGTGGAAGGTAAGAAGTATACAATTTTTACAAAGTAAAAATAATAAACGTGGTTTAAAATTTTGAAAAGTTGATATAACAATATTGAAATTATATTGCACCGCTTCAATATAATTTGATTACTTATTGCAATACTTATAATTTTAAAGAGGACACCAAAAGCAATTTTTGATGTTTTTGTATAGATAACAATAGATTTTGCAGAATGCAGAAGGTTTGACTAGTGTACAAAATCGAATCGAGAATCGAATCTAATCGCAAATCGAAAAAAACCTAACTAATGATCATTTGATTTGACCTGATTTGGTATTGGAAAAAAACGGACTATACTTGGGTTGGTTTGATTTTATCTAAAAGAAGTCAACCTAAGACCAAACCAACCCCACATTATATATATAATTTTTAAATTTTATCTTATACATAAATATATTGATATAATTTCTAAATATTTCTTATACTTTTTCATAATTTTTATTTTTTTAACATATTATTTCAAGTTTTTTGAGACTTACAATTTTGAATGGTCCAATAAAGATTATAGTTCATAGATATTAATAACTCTATTAATAAAGCTCAATTCAAAATCGAATCAATGCTAATGCTAACAAAACAAAATTGATTCAACACTAAAAATAACAATAATATTGAATATTTGTTCTTTAGTTTTACATTGGTTTTGACATTTAAAATATATAACCTAATTTTAATTTTTCTTTAATGTTTAATCATGTAATACTTATTAGACTTATTTTAGCATGATGTAGTACATAGTTTTAAATTATGATCATTTTTATTATGACTTATTAATTTGTAATATTTATTTTATGCGATTTCATTATTATTTTTTGTTGAATATTTTAGTGTCATCACCTATCTCATATTTTTATTTTTTTATTTTTTTTAAAAACACCTTAGATAGTTGTATTTTTGTTGGACTAAAGAAATATTTGGAGCACAAGTTAATTATATGTTTGTATGAATATTTTATTGGAAAAATCCAGAAAAAAGTCGAGGTTAAAAAATCGAGTTTTATTAATTTGATTTGGTTTATGAATTTAAAATTCTAACACAAATCGCTTGATTTGATATTTGAAGAAATCCAAACCAACTCAGTCATGTACATCCCTAAGTTTGACCATTTGGAATTTTTTTTTGAATATTTTAATAATATAAGATAATAAAAATTGTGAAAGTGAGAATAAATAAATATATATATATATATATATATATATATATATATATATATATATATATATAATAATGGGTTCATGTTAGTTTTCAAAACATAAATTAGGTAACAAAATAAATATATATATTATAATTAAAAATTACTTCATTTCTCAATCATTACAACAAATCGCACATTAAAAAAGTAAAAAATAAATTTATTATATTTTCATCCCAAAGAATTCTAATTCTTTTTAAATTTAACCGCACATGTTTTATTGCCCTTATAGTCGAGCAGTACCTTTGTCATAAATCATAATATTCACATATTCTTCAAACTACTGCATAGACATACTACATGACTTGTTGCATTAAAATCTATCCACAATATGTGTTATGATACCAAAGTTAAATTAACTTTCGAACAAATATAATTAAGAAATATCCTTCATTGATTTTTTATGTTGTTTCTTTCACGCTACCCTAAGATAATCGCATTCTTTATTTTTGCCATACCTTATTATAATTGAATATGTCAAGAATGTATGATTCTTAATTAGAATCGGTTTGGATTGGCTTGTTTAAGGTTCTTTTTAAGTTAAAATAGTTTTTAAGCACTTTAATTTTAAAGTGTTTGAATAAGATTAAAAAGTGTTTTTGAGCACTTGTTTTGAGAGCCAATTTAAATTGACTTATTTAAAGTGTTTTTCAAGTCAAAATAATTTATATGCACTTTTTTAGTGTTTGCATAAATTATAAAAGTGTTTATAAGCATTTGATTTAAGCTAAAATGATAAAAATAAATCAAAAATCATCAATTAAATTTTTTAACTTATAAGTCAAAAACTAAAGACCAATTCAAACAGACTCTTAGCCTTTTCTTCCTTGATATATTTCTTTTCAATTTTGATCATAGATTTCTTTTCCGAAAATTATATTATTTATACATGGTTAAAATATTTTTTTTATGTATATATAGTAGATGTTGAATTCCCTTCGAATACTTCGTGTGTCTTATTATACATATTTTGAACCTCCTTACTGAAAATTCTGACTCCGCCACGATTGGATAGTAACACTTGCTGGAGTAATTTCAATTGAATTAAGGGACAATAAATAGCAAACTAAATTTACTTAATACTTGAAATTAAAATAAAAAAAGCAAATTTAAATATCTAGACACTCTAATGTTTTTATCTTTGAACAAAATATTAACTTTCTGGTGGTCTCTTTATATGTATAACATTACCAATATTCTCCCAAAAAACATAAGTATAAATTTCAAGAAAAAAGTTGTCACTATAAAAAAATAAAATTATTTTAAAGAACTTAAGACTGCCTTTTGACAGATAACACAGCCACCTAAACCAAATACCATTACTGTGAAAGAGACGAAATGCATTTTTTTCATGCTATGTCAGCAAGTTATCATGGTCTCAAGCTAAATAGATCTCATACCAAACCATACTAAACAAACATGCAAATTGCAATCATTTAGATATTGGTATATTGGTGTACAGTAAAACCTCATTAAATTAATGAGTTAATATTTTAAAAGGTTATTGAACTATGAAAAATTATTTAGCAAAGTCATGAAACTTTGTTTTATATCAATAAAATCACTCAACTTAAGATATTTATCTACAAAAATCACCCAACTACATTTATCATTAAAATAAATTTGGCATAGCAAAATAAATTACTTTTTATGCCATATAAATTACATGGACCCAATAAATAAATATATATAAAAAAAATTTGTCCCGCTTATCAATACTCCCGTTCTTTTTTTATTATCAAAATTTGGATATGAAATTCAAATTCATAAGAGATCCAATATCACACTACAACTAGCTAGCGAATATATGCAATGAAATTCTATAAATCGCATTAGGGTTGCACATTGTATTTTGGCGTATACATTATTACTCATTTATTTGAATCAACATATATGTACTGGAGTATCTAACTAAAGTAACCAATATATAATGATCACTTTAATTTAAAAATAAATAAATAATCTTCTACGAACAGTGGCTCAAAGTGTAGAAATTGAAAATTAAAGCAATGTGGGTATAAGTCGAATTTATACTGGGCGAGCCGATTAAAAAATACAAAATTTTAATTTGTGGGATTCAAATTTATATGGTAAAAAAATAATTATTTATCATGTCAGATGTATCTCAATGATAAATTAAGAAGCAATGATAAATTAAGAAGGAGATCTTTTAAAATTCTGTTTATTTGTCATGACGTCCATATTTACATGATATATAAAATAATTTATTTTGCCATGCTAAATTTATTTTAATGTTGAGTGATTTTTAAAGATAAAAGCTTTAAGTTAAGTGATTTTATTGAAACAAAACAAAATTTAATGACTTTGCTTGATAATTTCTCATAGTTCAATGACCTTTTAAGATATTAACTCTTAAATTAATATAGGTGGAACCATGAAATATTATTATTATTTTATAGAGGTATTATTCAATAAAGGTCAATTTTGATTATATCAAAATCATGATATCTTACTAATTTATATATCATATTTTTTGAGTTCACATAAAAAATAAATTTATTATTCATAAAGTACAATGGATACATCAAAATTTGTATCTTACTAAATTAGGTATCAAAATTATTGAATTTACATAAAAAAATATATTATACATACCGTACAATGTATTTGTATAATTCATTGTAATATATTTTTTACCTTAGGAACCAGTTACGTATAAGGAACACTCATCACATTTAGAACTCACAATTTTATGGTGCGGCTCGAAAAGACAACACCGAAACTTTTGGATACAATAAGAGAAGTTAGATATGAGCTTCAACTACATTTAGATTTTAACAAAAAAACAAAATACAGTAGAATTATATTTCATTAAATTGTGTTAGATATATTTGTACTTTTAAAGAATTATTAATTTATAATACTAATGGCACCATATATTTATAAAGGGGTCTTCTGGAAATATATTATCTTATCGAAATGAATGATTTTTTCTATTATCTTGAGTCGAAACTGAAAGAAAATATTATTTTAGAGAGATTGTTAATTTACATTCTATTAATTTAGTAAGATTTTACTGTATTTGTTTGACAAACTAGTAGATTCCTATAAAGGGAATAACTTTTTTAAAAAAAAAAAACTGATGAACGAAGTTCCTGACAGAAATCTTTAAGTTATAGGAAAATCTGTGGCTAAAATTGAATGACAAGAATAATATAAGTAACAAAAAGAATAGAATAAGGGATAAATATGACCCCTTCAGTAAGAAAAATAAATATGGAGTATCTTTCTTTATTTAGTAATACTGAGCTTTAATTAAATGATTTATAACTAACTCTAATTACCTTACTATTTTATATGACAAATTAAATTTTATGCTTAATGAATTGAACACAAGTAAAAAAATATGATTGTCGGATTCCATAAAAGAAGGATTGTGTGAGGCGGAGACAGTTTGCGAGAAAAGCGTTGTTGTTGGTCAGTGAAGAACGGTTCAACGGCATAATTTTCCGGCTAAAAAATGAGACCCACAATATAATAGTTATGCATTACAAACACTAGTCATCTTTCTCTTACATCTTTCTTCCCTTTTCTCCTCCTTTACCCATCACATTTATTCGAATTTTAGGGTTAGGGTTCCTCCTTCTCCTTCTCCTTCTACTTGTTTGTTTGTGTGATTCTGCATTGTATGTACAAATGTGTGATTGAAAGCAACCCATCAAATTTTATTTCTCTGTTTATACAACAATCAGGTCTTCTCGAGAAGATCTGAGAGAGGGATACCTACCAAAATGAGCGCCTCCAGGTTTATTAAGTGTGTCACCGTTGGTGATGGTGCCGTTGGAAAGACTTGTCTCTTGATTTCCTACACCAGCAATACCTTCCCCACGGTTTGTTTTTTTTTTTTTTTTTTTCAAATTAGTATTACAAATTGCGATATGCTCTGTTTCCAATTCTTTATACATGCCTACAATTGTATGTCCTCTTTCCCATTCAAGGTGAAAATGAACCAATTGATTGCTCTTCGAGATAAATGCGGTGATAATAATTCATGTTAGATGTTATGGCTTTTGCTGGTTGCTACTTTATATTATTATCACATAAAGACATCACTTGCAGTGTTATCTTTTTTCTCTGGGATTCGGTTCACATGATCAAAGCTTTTCTTTGTTTTTGTATATCCTAAGATATTTGACATCAATTTCTTTGTCTCATCTATTACAATGTTTGACAGGATTATGTGCCAACTGTGTTTGACAATTTCAGTGCAAATGTGGTTGTCAATGGGGCTACTGTCAACCTAGGGTTGTGGGATACTGCTGGTAACTACATTAAACACCACTTTTTTTCTTTGTCAGAAAGCTTCTAATTTCTATTTAGGCCAAATACATGGATAGCCTCTCAAACTTGCATGAGATGTCACTTAGACACTTTAACTTTAGCTATGACCAATTGAACACTTTTACTTTTCCAAATTGTGTCTCTTGGACACTTCAGTCATCAAGACTAAACAAAATCAAATGTGTAACTTTTACGCTCTAAAAGTATGATGAATGACCATTCAAATAAGAACATATCTCATTTTGAAAAACATACATGTCATCCTAAAAAATACTTAAAAATTGAATAATTTCCTTATCCTCAAGGTCTTCGTCTTTCCAAAAACAAACCAGATAACCAATTGCAAAGGAAACCTTGTGTGAAGAATTCCGTCCACGCCAAATGCTTAATTTAGAGCTTTCGACTGATTCAGTTGTTTGTTGAACTTGGTTGTATGACTTTACATTAATGTCACACATTTTCATCCGGCATAATACATAGATAGACACCTTAACTTGACCTCTACTACCTGTTGAACACCCCAACTCTCATTGTGACCATCTAGATACTTCAACTTGACACAACCTTAACTTTGAAAATGGACATCTAGACACTTTTAAGGGGGGTGCATTCTCAAAGTTGGGGTGTTTATGGGGACACTTGAACCAAGTTAAGGTGTCTAGATGTGCATTTTCTAAGTTGGGTGTTTAGTTGTCAGTTGAGGCCAAGTTGAGGCCAAGTTAAGGTGTCTATCTATGTATTAGGCCATTTCAACCTTTAGCTACTAAAAATTGGGGGCAACAGAAATGCCAACATCTTTTCTTCTGATTTCAATCATAATAATCTATTTTCATAGCTAACATTCAAAATTTAATTTATTGGGAAAAATTTACGACCTTTTTCCATCTAATTCATCTATAGCACAAGAAATCACCATTTTTAACTAATCTAGAAAATTCTTGCTGGAAGAAGGAGACTTCCTCACAAGTTCTCTTATATCCTTTGTTGCCTCAATCTTTTCCTTTTCTTACACATTACTCTTCAACTATTCTGCTATTTTGTCTATCGTATTCATGCTTTTTCTGTGCTCCTCTTCTTCATCTCCAATATTAGATTTTTCTTCTTCTTCTTCTTCCATCAATGATCCTCTTACCATTTTACGGACACCCTTTTGAGTACTTTTACGGAGGATGTATTCAGAAATTTACAAACAGTTTATATGCTCAAGGCTGAGGGCGATACACATGATGTGCCATATCAACATCTTGTATCCACAAGATACATTTCTGTTAACTAAAAGTGTTCAATTGGTTATGGCTAAAGATGAGGTGTCTAAATGACATTTCGTGCCAAATTTGAGGGGCTATTTGTGTATTTGGCCTTCTATGTATTTGCAGATGTATTCTTATGATATATTTGCTACTGTCATTATGTTCATATTCATATTTATATAATGTCATCATAAAATATACATATTACAGGACAAGAAGATTACAATAGGTTAAGACCTCTGAGTTATCGTGGAGCTGATGTTTTCATTTTGGCGTTCTCTCTCATCAGTAAAGCCAGTTATGAAAATGTTTCCAAGAAGGTAGTGGAAATTTTCGTTTTTCTCTTTGTTTTATTTTTCTTCTTTGTTATTGGTTCATGGAAATTTATTTTTGCTCTATTGAATATTTTCCAGTGGATTCCTGAGTTGAAACATTACGCCCCTGGTGTCCCTATAGTGCTTGTTGGAACAAAACTTGGTAAAGTTCTATTTATACAATATGATCTTGGATTTTTTTGTATATCTTCATGAGGTGATGATTAAGTGGTCTCTGGGATGTTTCCATTTTACTTCTATTTTCTCTGCGATTAAAAAAAATCTTTCAGAAGGATCTGATCATCTCAGTATAATAGTGGATCAATCTTCATCTTATGTTATAGTGCTGCTTCTATCTCCTAATTGGCACTGATAATCATGTATGTATACTCAAAATCCATGGTGGTAGAATAAGTCTTTGCTGCTCTATGAGTAGAAGGTACTTTGTTCCCTGTCACAAATACAAGATTTTTAAGAAACTGCTGAAGAGCAAACAGAAGAAATAGTAGACCTTTTGGGCCATGGAAGTAGAAAATGATTGGTGGTGTGGGGTGTGTGCAGCACATGTTCTTGTCCCGTGTCTCTTTGATAAAAGTTAAAAGAATGAACTTTCGTCTATACAAGGACATGTTAAAAATAGTTGGAATTAAGTTCTCTTTGCCAAAGAAAAAATAGAAAACGAAATACAAATGGCTTTCCTTGAAGTGTACATCTCTTATCTTTTACTTCGAGTTCCTAAACCTATTCAGGTTGAAGGTTGTAACACAACTGTTTGTTTTATTTATTCTTCAAATTGTGATTTTCCTCTTTTATGAAATATATATTCTTTGTACTGGTTGTACTAATGTTCTAATGTTTTGTTCTTGAACTTTTATGTCTCATCTTTTTCCAGTTTTACTTTCCCCGTCTTTTTTTTCATTCAGAGAGGATTATTCATATATATAATTGTCCTACTTTCCACTTGCATTGAACTTAGATCTTCGAGATGATAAGCAATTCTTCATAGACCATCCAGGTGCCGTGCCAATTACTACTGCTCAGGTAAGGGTCACTGTGGCTATCCTCTCTTCGAGTTGCTTTAGTGGAGTACACTGTGTACCTTGCTTGTCATTAGTAGTTAATTTACTTCTTATTCCAACATTAAGGGTGAAGAGCTGAGGAAAACAATTGGTGCACCTTCCTACATTGAATGTAGTTCAAAAACACAGGAGGTATATTTTGTCTAGAGCTTCTTGTTTCTTGTGCTCAACATCTTTTTGGATGCGTTTAATTGAAGTTATATGATTTGAAATGTTGTTGCTGCAGAATGTAAAAGGAGTATTTGATGCTGCCATTAAAGTTGTGCTCCAGCCACCCAAGGCGAAGAAAAAGAAAGGGAAGTCTCAAAGGGCTTGCTCAATTTTGTGATCAATAGTAGGTCCGGGGTTATTCCTTGTCACAGTTTCCACGCGTTGTAATCTGTCCCCTCACATCTGTTTCTGTTTTCCTTTCTCGGAAGAAGTAAGAGGTCCTTGTATGTCTGTTTTGAAGCTACTAGTGATCTCTTGAAGTGTCAGGTGGCTCGATTTCTTGTATTGCTGTGATCTCTGATTACTGAGTTTCACAACACGCTCTAGGCCACTCTATTTTGTCCTCGCTGTTTTGATTTGTTTTATGTATTACTGACTGAAAGATCAATTTAGGAAAACAAATTTTCTCAGCAATGTTGTTTAGCGTTTCTTACATTTTTATTTTGATTTTAAAACCTTGGAATGTTTAGCACCCTTCTTGTTGTAGCTGTTCAATTTTGCCTAACTTTTTTTCACAAAGATCAATCTAGAACCTTCTGCTTTGCATCTTCATTTCTGTTTTTAAAAGTATTTTGTATTCAGGAAACATACTTTTTCCTGATGAATCAGCAATTCTTAACTTACTTTTTATTGGAATCCCTAAGTGACCATTTCTCCTTTTCTACTACTAGCATTTTTTTTTTATGGGGAAATGAAAGAAGTTTTAAAAGCTCAAAAGATGGTAGTAATTCATTAGCGGTGATCCACTCCTAAGTTCTTTTTCTTATTCTATAATGAAGTGTTGAAATAGATGTCATTGCCTTGTTGATTTAAATTAAATGGGAATGTCAGCTCTACAATGTCGTTGATTAGATTCCCCTCAGCGTGATGTTTATAAGAGAGTTCAATGTGTAGCACTAATCTATCTTTTCAAATAACATGCTTTCTCCACGTCTAGTAGACTCAGTCATGTTTCTTCATTAAAATAAAAAATAAATACTAATAAGAAGTTGTGCATTACATCAAGTACTTAAGTAATTATTGTCAATGGTTGGCCTCAAGGTAGAATTAGTCAGGGACCTCAGAATTTAGCCGGTACAAGGCTTTATATTAGTAGGGGTCAAAATCAGTTATTGGGACGTTGTGGCATAAGTTTTATTGTTGAGAGGGCAACAACATGGATCACCAGTTAAGACCTCTAATTGACCACTCAGTGTTGGTACTTGAAAAGTATGTTTGCAAGAATAAAATTCAAAGACGGTGGAACCCACAAGTGATAGAGCATGTGCTCTAATTCGATGCAAAACAAAGAATCTTATCAGACCTTGAGGTGCTTTCGAGAGTGTGGACACAAGTGGTGCATGGTTGTTGTCAACTCATGTCATAATGTGTTGGGTTAAGTCAAGTCTGGCAACGGAACCGGGAGGTGCCGGTTCCGGTTCCGGTTCCGGTCCGTTACCGGTTCCGTCTCGGTTCCGGCTTGTACCGGTTAGGTCTGGTTAGTAGCGGGTCCGGGAGGGGTAAAGGGACGGAAACCGGGATTTACCGATTAGTCCCGGTCCAGTCCTTTTTCTTTTTAAAATTTTTTTTGCAATTAGCCGTTGTAGGAGCCGTTGGCCAACGTCTTTTGGGCCCCACAACGGCTCTTTCACCCCACAACTCCCCAAAGCACCCCCTACCTTCCCAAACTTTTATTAACACCCCAACCTTCTAAAAACTACATTTTCATCCTTTTTTTTAAACTATAAATATCCCAAATCTTTCATTCTTTTCACTCACAAAAATATTATCTTCTACTCTCTCAACAATTCTCAAAAGTCTCACTCTCTAATCTCTCATTAACATTAAAATTACGAATTTGGTCTTTGGAAACTGGAGCTTCAAAATTCAACTTTCAATTTCCGGCATACACGTCTAATTTTTTAAGTAGATGTTTGGTACATTCGTTCCAACTCACTTTTCATTTAGTTATTTATTTGTTTGCATTTAATTATTTATTTTGTGAGTAATTAGTCTCTAGTCTCTACTTATTTAGTTATTTATTTGTTTAAAACTTTGCATTACATTTTCGTATTATATGTAATTTACTCACTTTTTATATTTGAATATGAATTTCGGTAAAAACAATTCGATCACTAATTTATGGAGCTCAAAATCCAAGAAAAATAAAAAAATCGATAGTACTTCTAAATCTAAAACTATAAAAACTTCTCAATTAAGAATAAATACGGATGATTATATGCACTGTTTTTAATATTGATAGTAATAGTGGATTAGATCCTTATCATGAACATTTACAAAGAAGGTTTGGTAATTTTGATGAGGAATTACCTGAAGATGATGAACATGATGATGTTAATGATTATATTGATAGTTTTGATAATAATGTTGATGAATATGATGATGATGAAACTGAGCTAGTTACGGCTACTACTCCCACTTCCAGTCCCTCTTCCCCGGCTCCCGCTCCCTTTCGTTGTCATGATCCCGTTCCCCCTGTGCATCCTAGGCCTAAGGTAGAACGCGCTAAAAAATCAGTTGTGTGGCAATTTATGACTCAGAATGAAGATAAAACACAAGCTATTTGTAATAAATGTAAACATAGAATGAATCATAAAACTGTAGGAAAACATGGTGGGACGGGACATTTGAGTAAATATCATTTAATGTCATGTTGTAAAAATGGATTTTTGCATGCTAAAGTTGTAGCCGAAGCTAAAAAGAATGGTACCACCCTTCCTGAAACTGTAGGAGTAGGGGGCTCTAATATGGTCCAAACACAATTAAATCCGTCTAATGTTTCTGGTTCTAGTATACAACGGTCATATAGTAGAGAAAAAGATTTTGAAGAATTAGCTAAAATGATTGTTGTTATGGGTTTGCCATTTAGTTTTGCTGAAAATCTCGGTTTTATTCATTATATTCAAATTGTGTATAATCCACATTTTAAAGGTTTTACTAGAAATACAATTAAAAAGGCTATCTTTGATTATCAAGCTCAACATTTTCAATATCTTCGTTGTTTATTTTATGATAATAATTGTAAAATGGCTATTACTTCTGATATGGGCCGTAGTGTAAATGGTAATGATTATTTCACTATTTCTGCACATTGGATTGATGAAAATTGGACTTTGCAAAAAAGAATTTTAGGTGATAAATGTTGTGAAATGCATAAAATCGATAGTTATATAGCTCAAACAATTATAGATGTTTTACAAAACTATGGAATTTGTGATAAAATAAGTAGTGTCACCTTAGATAATGCTTCTAATAATAGATCTGTTGTTGAAATACTAAAATCGTCTCTTTGCCCTATTTATATATATTGATGGTTTTCATATTAGGTGTGTTGTACACATATATAATTTGATTGTTAGAGATAGTATAACAATGTATAATGATGGTTGCATAAAAGTTGAAACTGCATGTTATTTTATTTTTTAAATGTCAAGTTAAGTCTAGACGTAGAGATTTTGAAAATCGTGGTCATAAATTTAATCTTCCACCTAGAAAAATTCCAAAATCAGTGTGTACTAGATGAAATTCTTTATATGAAATGCTTAAAGTCGCTTATAAATATAGGAAACCTTTACAAATGGTTTGGAATACTCATAATTCAAATATGACATATAGATTTGATGATAATGATTGGAATGACATAAAAGAACTTATAGAATTCTTTAAAAAAAATTATTTAACTACAAAAAATAATATTTGCACTTTATTATCCAACTATTTGCTCTGTTTTACCTAATATTTGTGCTATATCTAGTAAATTTTATAAATTCAAAAATAAATCAAGATTTGAATAATCTGTTAAGAAAATGATTGAAAAATTTTAAAAATATTTTATTCCTATTCCTCAAATTTATTTAACCGCTTGTTTGTTAAACCCACATTACAAAGATGAAGGTGCATCATGAATGGTTGATAAAATATATTTTAATTTGGGTATTGATAGTGAAGATTATGAAATACCTAGTTGTCAAAATGTTAAAGATAGTATAAAAATTGAAGCTAGAAAATTGTATGACTTGTATAATTCTAATAGAATGGATGTAGTACGTAATGAAGAGCCTCAGAGTTCTAGGAGTAGATATAATGAAGATGATCTTGATGATATGATAGATTGTTATCTTGAACTTTCTCATGATGATAGAAATGATTTTGATGCATATATTAATCAAAATACAAAACCTGCTACTATTGATCTTCTAGAATGGTGGAGCAATCGCGGCTAGGGATTTCCAAAACTTCAACATGTTGCTCGAGATGTGTTAGTTATTCAAGCATCTTCAATAGCTTCGGAAGACGCTTTTAGTGCATCAAGATTTCAAATTGAAGAGCATAGATATTCATTAGCAGCATATAGCTTGGAGATATCGATACTATTTAGAGATTGGATTAATGACGAGAGAAGGAGTTATGGTCGTCCACCTTTACCGACCAAATTTGAAAATGACGTCGATGAAATACTGCAAGAATTTAGTGACGACGACATTGATGCAATAGAGGAACTATCTAATCAACCAATTCCAGAGCATGTTACTAGAGAAATGTTAAATTATTTAAAAAAGATTCCCTTGGTAGCATGAACTATTAAATTTAAATGTCTATTATAGTATGAGTATGATAATTCGAGGTCTAATTCAAACAGAACCCTTCTTAGAAGATGGCTGTGTAGATTAGATTTTTTAATACTCTACTAATATTTTGTAATTCAACTTGTATTATTTAATTAATATTAATAAAAGTATAAACTATTCGCCTTAATTTTTGTTTTATTGTCTTAAATTTAAATTTTCAACTTTTAATGTGTGAAATGTAAACTTTTATAGTTTTATAGTTTTAAAGTTTGAATTTAAATTTTCAAACTTTTAAAGGGTGAAATTTAAACTTTTATAGTTTTAAAGTTTGAATTTAAAATTTCAAACTTTTAAAGGGTGAAATTTAAACTTTTATAGTTTTAAAGTTTGAATTTAAAATTTCAAACTTTTAAAGTGTGAAATTTAAACTTTTATAGTTTTAAAGTTTGAATTTAAATTTTCAAACTTTTAAAGTGTGAAATTTAAACTTATACTTTTAAAGTTTGAAAGTTTGTATTTAAAACTTTAAAAGTATAAATTTTTAACTTTAAAATTATAAAAATTTCAATATTATTTGAGTAATGTTCCTAATTTTTTAATTTTAATAAATTTTTTTAAAAAATATAGCCGTTGGGACCTGGTTTTCGGTCCGATCCCGGTCCGTTACTGGTCCGGGACGGGTATACATATTTTTTTCCGGAATTACCGGTTCCGGTACGGTTCCGGTCCGATAGTCCTGGTTCCAGTCCCGTTGCCACGCTTAGGTTAAGTAGCGAAACTCTCGTGTATGATTTTCATCATTAAGTTTGAAGTCTTGAACATACCACCAGTAATTCGATGGAGGAAGATGAGGATGACATCAAGTCATTATGCCCTTTATATCCTATCGATACACATGCTACAATAGTTGAAGTAAAGATCGTGTTCCCGCGAGGGTAATGTAATCCTAAAAGTACGTCCTCAGTTTGGATTGCAAGATATTATTCGTTAGTTGGAATCACTAGTAAACGTCGGTTAATCATACAATGGTGAACTCAGACCTTGTACACACCAGTCACAGTGTGGAGATGGTCATGTCCGAAGTCATTACCTTAATTGCAAGGAGGGTAGTTCAGTTTTGCTTTAATATAAACCCGAGAAAATTTCCAAATTGTTGAATTCAATTTGATTAGTTTAATTAATTGGATCATAACAATCACGTCTAATCATAACCAAAACGGCGAGTAGGAGCGAGATTGACATACAAAGGAGGCTAATCTTTTTCAGATACGTCAAGTTCAAGCATATTACATGAAAATTATCAGTTACACTTAATTAAACATAAACTTATATAGCTTCTATTTATATAAGTTACTAATATTCTACCAGATCCCAAATTAGCAAAACACACATAATAACAGTATAGCTAAACACAAAACATCCACAACACCAACAATACAGTTGAAACATAATAGGCTAACTAATGCGAGGCTGTAGAGTTACCATTGTCATCAGAAACCGATGCATGAACCTTGTCAATGTTAGCAGTAGGAGGAGCAGCAGGTGCCACAACTGATGGGTGGTCGGTATGAGTATTTGGCGGTGAAGAAAGTGCTCTGCGTACCCCCTCAACAAATATAGGAAGCATGTGATCCATCAATATGGGAATCAATTGCATCACTAACTCCTCCACATTCCCTATCGGTGTTGATGGAACATTCAAAAGCAGATTTCCTATCAGTGTTGATTTAACATTCAAAAGTGTTGCTGGCGAGGTAGCATCAGATCCAGAAGAGGTATGGAGATTCGGGCTGTGGTAGCTTTTTGCTTGAGATTCAAGACTGTATACTCGTCTCATCTTTTCCCCTCCAGCGGCTTGGTAATATGCTTGACACTGATCATCAATATCAGAATGACGCTGTGTTTGCGGCTGTCATATTTCATGAGATCGTTCCTGTAGAAGAGTTTAATAAATTAGTGAAATTTAAACAGTAAAGAATATTGAGCACTCAGTTTACAAAATAAAAGGAGACACGAAAGTCATATATAAAGTCAATATTATAATTATAGAAAATTGAACTTACATGTACGATTGGGATTGCTCACCGACAAGAGATTTTCCAGCATGACCATGTGTATGGACGCACAAATGTTTCTCACTTGGTGTTGGATCTCGACCCTTTTCAGCAGCCTATACAAAACACATTTTCAAACTGAGGATAAATTGCAAAGAAGTTAAATTGTGATCCTAGATCCAATAGTGACGACGAAGCTCATATACCAGTCAGGAGAATACAGAAGGCATGTCAGAGAATTAATAATAGAAATTTTCAGCTAAATGAAGTTAACAGAAGCCACTAACCCACCTTTTCAATGATAGTCTTTTGGGCATACAAGATATGAAATATGTTACAAAACATTTAAACTTTTAAAAACAGTACTTATATATGCCTTTCAAAAGTTTAGTTGTTATTCATAGTTAAGACTTACAAGTTAAAAGCCAAACAAGGAAAAAAACTAATTACTATGTTAAAGAACTTAGAGGAGGTATCAAGCTTGACAGCCCAAGCCCCAAGCTTCATTCCTCTTGGCAATACTACAGTTTACAGCTTCTTTAGACTTGTAACTCTAACCTTTTTCTCCTTGTTATATCAAAATAGAAAGACAAGTTCTTCCTCAAGTATTTCTTTTCAGTCCCAAATCATCAATTTGGGCTAATATAATCTAAATGTTTGTCAAGATTTTCAGCAAAGAAACTATCAGAATTCCCCAGCTGCACTGGATTAAAACAGGAAAAAGCTTTTTCCTCCTTTTGGCCAGCAAACATTATTTTTCTATACAGAGCCTTCTCTTCAAAGTTGGATTCCAGGTTCAAAGATTCTTAGCAGTATAAAACAATCTTTCCACAATTTAGCATCAGAACATGCTCACAAGTCTCTTGCGATGTAAACATGAACTTACAAAAGGCAAAAGCTATATCATGTAACTTTCAGATTATGTACTTCCAGTTTCTTAAATGTGTGTGCATAATTCTAAATGGAGCATTCATGCTAATCTTTTTTTGGTTGACAGCATGCATGCTAAACTTATTAAAGATACCGGAATTCTTTGTCCATGCGAGCTGTGCAAGGGAACTAAAGTGAGTATTTAGGGTGTGTTTGGTATGAAGAAAATGTTTTCCAATTATCCCATGTTCGGTAGGTTAAATAAATTGGAAAACATTTTCTTTAGGAAAACAAAATAAGGAAAATGAGCTCCCTAATGGAAGTAGGGAAAAAAAGCTCTACTAGGGACTTGATTGTGTCCTCCCCACCCTCCAACACACCTCATCTTCACTCCCACCCCCCATAGCCCTCGTCCCCACCATCTCACGCCCCTACCTTCCATAGTATTTGTCTGAATTATATACAAATACTTTTAGGATAGTTTTTGCTTACCTACCGAACACAAGAAAATAAGTTGTCTAGTAGACATTTTTCAAGAAAACATTTTCCTTCCTACCTAACACACCCTTAGTTTTTTCCATTTCTCTTGCTTCCCTTTTTCACACTCTACGACTTTAGTCGTCTTAATAAACAGTTGTCTTAACTGACTATACTATCACATTCTGTATCACTTCTATAATATTTCCACTGAAACAGTAGCAATGATGTGGATGTAAAGTACTTACAAGTCTCTTGCGTTTCCTAACTGAGGAATTGCCTGCATGACCTGCGCTAGCTTGACCTCTACCTCGATTCATATCTACAGAAATATAAGTAGAGGAGGATATGAAACAATGCATAGGAAGAAAACATTCAACAGAGAAAAAGAACTGTGAAGATCTCATTTGTGCCCGACTTTATTGACCAGCTCTCTAAAGATCTCAATATTAAAATGAAGATTGGTAAAAGAGATACAGCAAGGATTCAAGAATTCTGACTTGGGAAATCAATGCTATCATAGATAAATCGTTAAATCCAACCAAACTTCACTATCATTCATTTACAATAATATAAGTAATATTAATAATAATCTGCCAACTGAAGATTTCTCTGCCGTTCCCTTTTCTTGACGCTACCTATTTTGTTCTCTCCAACTGCACAAACTTAAGATAATTGATTTTAAAGGATCTGCATGGTCTGTTAGTAAGGAGTATATTCTTGCCTGTGACACAGTTTCTTTACTAGTAACACCTAACTACTAGCATTAAGTTTGCAGTTGATTGGGGCAAAAGACACAAGAAAAAGGTAACTAAAAGAAAAGGGAAAGGCGAAAATGAAAGGAAAGATCAAAATGGTCTGAAAAGAAAATTTGAAGACCATCACAGTTGCTTCATGAACTCCCTGTGACATGGCTTGTATCAAAGGGGACCTGGCTATAATGCGACTGCTGAACGGTACAACAATAATGTCAATATGTAACCAAGTAGAGGGCAAACAATTGTAGTATCAAGTTAGAGTTGCAAGGAGGGTAGGCTAAGAAAATAGAGATGAATAGCATTCATCAGTAGCAGGATAAGGAACTGGAAAGCGGGACAGATAGCTATCTTATTATATTTTAGAGTAATATGAGCTACATGTTTTGTGTATTACTCATCCATTGAGTAGTGATAGCTGATATATTTATTTTATCAACAGCAACTGTTCACTGAATGGGCATGTGACTAAAATAAATGAAAAGATAAAGTAGCACCTATTTTCATTTGGAATGGAAGATTTATGCTATGCTATTCTAGAGGGAAGAACAAATTGACTTTAAGATCATATTTAAAAGAGAATGTCAAACTCAAGTCTTACTTATGGTGGTGGTGACAAGTAACTACATCAAAGATTTTCAAGACTTTTTATACTCTCAAACCGAATTTTAACTTGCACCTTGGCTCCAACCTCAAACTGGATTTATTCAATTTGCACCCTCACTTTACAAGAGAGTAACTCAATGGATCATAATAAACATGCAACTAAGAGTTGCAGGTAGTAAATTGAGATTGCAATGTCAAAAAGATAGAGAACGAAAAATCTAATAAGTGTACTAAGCAAAATATATACATATTTTCAGAATGTGAAACCTATAACTGCAATATGCAAAGCGTATGCTAAAGTTGTACTTCTCCTGATAAATAAACTACTCTTTCCTAGGTCAATAAGCTGTAAGATGATATCTGCGTGAGAGTCATAGCATTGCAAGGATACTCAATGATCTGATTAACGCAGTAAAATTTTTGAATACATATTTGGGAAAATGGGGTTATTTACAGCTGCAGAATGGTAACAAATAATACACCCATTCTCGGAAAAAAGGCAATTTACACCAATCCTTCATAATCTAGAGACTTAAAGACAACCTACACTTCTGAAATTTAGTCCTACTAATAAGAGCAAATTAGATAGGCCACCTACTTAAAGGCAGTAAACAAAGAAGCAGTCTTACATACTTTGCTCCTGATGATATAAACTTTAAATTCCACCCCTAGCTCTTCTAATTGTTAAAATTAATGAAATTAATTAGATGCGAGCTAAGAACGAACATATCTTAAGATGAACTGAAAAAGGATTAGATCAAATTTAATTAAGTTTCAAAAATTTGTATAAGATGCTTAGGCTAGAGAAAGGATAAAGTCATGAGTCCAACTTTTCTTTGTTCTCTCCTGTTAGGTTCCCAACCTAAAAATTAGTTCACTAATTTGTCGTTTCAATCATAATTTGTGCATCCTCATAGTTCACTCCAATTCTTTACATTCTTGCCATTAGTTTTTGTATACTTTGAACCTACAGTTTCGATTGTGCACCTCACCCAGGGAGCTGGAAGTTGGCAAAGTTACACTTTACTAATTCCTCACCTCCGCATCATGTATAACTTGGTTTGGATTTGCATCATTTCAACATTTTTGTTTATCTAGTGATATCGCAGGGGAATAAAATATTGTCATGAATGAGCTAATATAATGTCATTTTGTAATCAATACCAACTCTTTTGCACCTTTTTTCTTTTACTTCAAGAGGCACATGTAGCTGCTAAAAAAGTTCAACATTTCCCCTAATAGTAAGCACACATATTCGCAATTTGTGAAATGTATTCTCAGCAATGAAACTACAACTACTTGAGAAAAAAAAAACATCATTCTCTCATAGTAGAAATATACAGAACAGACAGAAATCAGATAACAGTAAATGGCCGAAAATTTTCAGTCTGCATCTGTTGAAATTATATCATTGTACATTTTAAGAATTCCATACTTAACCTAATCTGGGTCCTTGTAACACACAATTATCAAAACAATGCACCATTTTAATAACCAGGAACTAGCAAAAAATCGATGTTAGGGTTTTGAAAGGAAGGTGAATTTCAGCAATCAAAGCAAATTGAGAAGTAAAATACTACTCCAGAAAACTTACGGAGAGCGAGCAAGCAAGCAAATATTGAAGAAGGAATAGTAACAACAAAAAATCACCTGTAAAGAAACTAAATTGAAAGAAACAAAAAAAAGAGAGAAATATACACTACCTGCAATGGAAATTGGAAAACCCTAAATAGCAATATTTCATCCGCGAACGGCAAGAGGTATTTAAATCATAACCGGCGACGGAAAATTGCTATTGTACACTTTTTTGACGATTTTCTTTTTTCAAAAAAAAAAAAAAAAAAAAAACACTTGCGTCTCCATTTGATATGTGCAAAAGTTACATTGTGCTTTCTGCTTACTAAATTTTGTACATGATCGTGTCCTTAAAACTCAAAGCATAAAGTAGTAAAAATGTGTATTTCTTCACTGTTTCTGAGCATTCCATCACTAACATATGTGCCTTGAATGTAACTCTCATCAGTGTTAAGCTTAACTGCCTGTGGGAAATTTGATCCATTGCACTGCTCTACAAGTTCTGTGTTCAATTCTTGTTTAACATCTTACTCCATAAAATATGCTTTGCCAGTTTTCACCTGTTTATCAACACTTGATTTCATTTTGTGATTTCAAATTATGTTTTCATCTCAAAACAAGCCCTTGACTTTCGCAAAATTTCTCTCTAAAGTATGCGACAAGATTAAAAATAATTTAGCATTGATTCTATGAAAAGAAGTTGTGTTGATTTCAATTTTTTTTCTATTTAATCACGACGTCTTTAGTTGTGTATCGGACAAGGAGAATTTCAGTT